TTGATGTTTGAAGTTTAACTGAGAAAAACTTCGGATTTAGGGTTGCTGGATTTATTATTGGAAAAATATTTTAGCTATATATTTTGGTGACAGTAATGGCGAAAATATTTCCTAACTGTAAGAAATTTTCCACTTCATTGGTAAAACAGATAGCTTTGGCTATAAAAGACATACTTTACAGCTCCTAGTAAAAATAACGTTTTTTAAAAAATATGTCAGTAATACTTCACATTTTTATATTTTCTACTTTCTTGGTTAAATGTAACGTAAGCTCAATGAAAGGATATTAGTTAATAGCTCTGGAGTTTAATAAATCGGGTATTGAGTACGAGCAACTTTATTGACTCTGTTTTCCTTATTTTAGAATCTAGCCTATTTTGAAATACTTTAGCACTGATTTTTAAAAAAATTAGGTAATAAAAATAAGAAAATTGTTACAAAGTAATAGAAAAAGTGTATGTGCTATTTTTTAAAAATAAAGCTCAAGTCGGTTCCAAGCGTTAATTGCTTTTCTGTGAGTAGTTAAGTCCCACAGCTTTACGATAAATATTAAATTTTTATTGCTTGAATTTATAAAAGAAAATACATACATTAAACATTTGAAGTAGGCCATTTTGTCAAAAGAGAGGCTTAAGGTATCAAAATTAAGATTTTTATACCTCGAGAAAATGTATTTTTTCAAGCAGGTAATTTCTCTCTCTCCATTGTCATTAATTTTTAACTTATAAAAAGAAGTCTGTTAACCTCAGCCAGCAACAACGTTTTTTCATGTGCTCAAAGTATTAGAGAAACTGTTTTATTCAATCGACATATGATTTGCTTCATTATTTAGTTCATTAAAAGTAACTTTTCGATAATCACTTATTAAAGTAAGTTATGGAGTTAAAAAAAAGGTGCTTCACTTATATTGATTCTGATATAAACAACGATCATTAATTCTAGAAATATCGATAATCACATCTGCATTATGTATTAAATGCATGTGAAAAAAAATGTGACTTCCTGTTTAATTGGTGACTCTTTTAAACTTAATTTGTCTGAATTATTCAAATGTTTTACTTTCGTTATTTCGATTTTTTTATTATTATATTATTAGTTTTTTATGGTTCTCTTGCCAAATAAGTATTTTTAATATTAAATTTAATGATTCTCGAAATGAATTAAAAAACACAGATAATTATTTATATAAGGTTGTAAGGTGTATTTTAATTTTTAGTTTTGAAATCTTTTCCTTTCAATTCTTGTTTCCCATTTACAACTCCTTATCAGAATGAGTTTTTAGAACCGCGTTGTAGTACTTAAGGAAGGTTCAGCTTACTTCAGTAGAAGAGCTTAGGCGTCCTTAGTAGGCGTATTGTACTTGCCTAATAATCGCCGGCTAATTTAATTAAGGGCAGCTTAATTAAATTATCTGTTATTAAATTTACATTAGGTAATCGTGTCTAGCTTCGGCTAAGTCAGTTTAGTTTAGTATGAGATTAGTTTTTTATTTTTCTTATCTCCATTTGAAGCCCGAGTGGAGGCTTTCTTGTACGCCGGGGAAAGGCACTTTATTATTTCTTTGAGTGAAGAAAAGAGTATTTTAAGCTTTCTCTGGTAGTTATATAAGTAAACTCAGCAATAAGTCCTTCCACAGTTCAATAAGTTCCTCTACATTCAGCATAGATGAAGCAGTGAAGAACATTATTAGGTTTTAATTTATACTTCTGAGAAGTCAGAGCAAATCAAACTACTCTCTCTTATTACGTGGATAATAAAAATGAGATTTGCCAAACATGCCGAATTAATATTTAAAATAAACATCCCTCATGTATATGACAAAGCAGAAAACATAGAACCATACTGAAATACATACATATTAAGGCCACTAACATGACAAAAATAATAATATTTCGAACAAAGGAATTCATCAATTATTAATTTTATTTTGACTAAGAAGTTTTAAGTTTTTATGCTGCACGTGTCATGTAGGTTTCTATTATATTTGTATAATATTACCTTTGTTAAAAATGGTTTTTGTTTTATTTTTATGCATAAGACAGATTTCCTATTTTATCAAACTCAATCTGCTCATACAAGATGTTTCACCTCTGATAGAGCTTTATAAAGTTTACAAGCAGTCTTTATAGTCTAAAAATTTAAATTTTTATTATATCTGAATGATATAAATAGCAGCGTAGTATATTGCAGATAATATGTGCAAGTCATTTCTTATGTATTGGCTTTTAACGAATTGTTTTGAATTGTATATCACAATAATATTATGCATTTAAATGCTTACATATATTTCATATGTAAGTGTATTATTATGTTATTTTCCTATTTTCGTATGTACAATACTGTATTATTTTGCTATGTGCCTATGTAAAGGTCTCGTAGGATACTAAGTCAGTAAGTTAGTAAGTTTTCGTTATATATATTGCAATGGAGTTTGTAGAATCACTGGCACGAACGCCTAATGGTATGACGCCTAGGTATCGGTATATAATTTACCTTGAAACGCTAAGTTTGTATTATAGAATTCACGCACAGTTTACGGTGTTCAAAGTATTTGGATCATTTGTGTGTTAACGGATTACCATTATCATTTTGACCATGTTTCGAGAGATAGGTTTCTTTGCGGGGGAATAGTTTAATTTTGCTCACCTACTTCATTGGAAGTCGTCACAGAGCCGCAGTCACTCACTTGAGCACTGATAATTTACTGCGGTAGTGAAATCAACCTGTAAAAGTGCTCAAAAACCTAGAAAGTTTCATTCAACACTTTGTTAGAAGAAAGGCAGCCTTGACCGCGGGGGTGTACAATTAAGTGTCCACAAGACTAGAACCATCGTTTATTCGTCAGTAGGCTCAGGCTGGGCAAGGACCATATGTTACTATATTGTCTACCCTTGTCTTTGCCCGTGAGATGGTGAGATTTCAAGAGGTTGTCCTTTGGGATTTGGCTTCCCTTGGTCAACGCTTATGAGCTGACTACGTTGTATTTTCTTCTCTTTGTTGGTGGATGCATGGCCGTCCATCCCTGACTTTGCGTACATAAACCCAGACTGTGTGAACATATAAGTCCTTCTGGGTCTAATGGAGCGGCGGTTAGTCCTCCTTCGATCACCACTAGGAGTTCGATTAACCCTGTAAAGCACTTAAATGAAGCCAGGTCTGGGTGCCCTTCTCCCTAGTGCACTGCACTGTGTCTAGGTATTTTGCGTAGTTGGGTCCTGTGGTTCTTCACTCACATTGGTTGACTTGTCAGAAACGCATGTATGAACGCAACGTTTCCAGAATTCTCAGCTATTGTGGCAAGAAACCTATCCTACAACTTAAGGGCCGTCTCCACTGGGGTTTATCTGAGCTAACGGAGACAACTGACGTAGCCGACCTATATCCAAAACCATTCTTTCTAGGTTTATGAGCATTCTTTTCCCTATTGAAAAATTTAACTGCAGGCATAGAGGATCTAGTTAAAACATGGAACTGACTCAGTTAGCTCAGATAAACCCTAGTGCGAAAGGCTCTTTAGGGTTAGGAACTCTTTTTAGGACAAGCTACTTAGGTTTTGCATCGGTATGGGTGATATTAGCTTAAGCCACCGGCGATCAATAGACTTGACGCCATTGCTTCTGATAAATTTCATTTTATCTAAATTACTGTGGCTTAAACCAGTGGCTTAGGGCCTATCAGCTCCCAGATGAGAAATATTCAATGTATTTAAGTATATACCATTTACATATATTGTTAAAATAATTTATTTGACATACTATAATTTTAAATATTTTCAATTTATAATATATTCAAATGACAATTTCTGTGAACATTTGTAGAATTAATTATTTTAATTAATTAAAGACATTTCAAAGCCCAGATATTATGCAACCAGATCATATAATGGCCTGGTTTTCTAAATGCGATGTTGAGTAGGAATTTATAAAGGCATATATATTTTGATTTATTATTTTATATACACGAATCTTATTCATTAATTTATTATTTAATGAAAATAAAATAATAAGAACACAAAGCTATCAAAACCACACTTTTTTATACTTATCATTAGGCATATATAATTAGAACTCAACTATAAACTAAGTAAACTTTAAAGGAATATGTGTAAAGATACATCTAATGCACTATAACCTTACATAATTTTATTACCAATAAGGAAAAGAAGAAAAAAAAAAAAGAAAAATTATAATTGGAAAAGAGGAAAGGAAAAGATATATACACACATTTATGTTGTGAAAAGTCTAGGTGCGACTATTATGAAGGGAAATCTACTACACGATATTGCGCACTTTTGACGATTTTTTCTGCTTCAAAACGGGGTAGGCGACTATTATGCCAATAAACACGATATATACATAATACTGACATAAGTATTACTCTTTGAAAGTATTTTGCATCGTATAGGGTTTTTATGTTCTGTATTTCAGTATTTTGTTTGAATGACAGTAATATTTTGAAGAAACTCTGCAAGTGATTTTAAAATTTATTAATTTTGCGGGAAATCTTGAAGATCATTTAGGACATCTTAATTTTGTTTCCAAATACATATGAAAGTTACATTTATATCTATAAGTAAATATCTAACGTTGTTAAAACATTTCTTAACCATTTAAAAGAAAAAGTTTAATCGTAAATTATAAATTTAAAATAAAAAAGTAAAATAATAAATTTTCGATACATTTCATAGCAATCAAAACCTAAAGGCAAATAATACTAAAATTATAGAAAAAATTGCGACTAGATACAAAAGCTATAAACCTACTCAGATTCTTTACTTAAAATAAAAGGAAGTGATAATGAATTCTGTAATCCCTACGCAATTCAACCATTAAGAAAAAGTTATTTAATTTAGTGCCCGAAAATTCCTGTATTTTAGAAACATTTACAGGAAGTATCTGAGAATATTTCCTGTAAATGTTTCTTAATACACTGAAAATTTCTGTAATGACTTGATTCTTTACTATTTATTTTAGTCTAACGTGAATGCATTCGATACTTACCCTGATTTCCTGTTCCTTTTGGACGATTGGGATTTTTTCTTCTTTTTGGAGTTACGTTCCGCGTTCAAAGTTCCAGGATATTCATCATCTGAATTACTTTTCTGTGGGCTCTAAAGACAAATAAATAAAATAATTAGACCAATTATTAAGCATGCAGATCTTATAATGCATTTGATTTAAAATTAGAAGTTTCGATTCTGAAATCTTGAGCTGCGTAAGGTTGTTGAGATTAAAGGCTGGAGAGAGAACAACAATGGAGAGGGAATTTCAGTAATAAATGCAGTGGAGGTTCTCATGAAGATTGCCTATAAATGTGACCAGATTTTTGGAGAAAGTAAATAACGTTTTGTAGAGACGTTAGGTATTTTTGGAAGCAGGCAAGATGGAAAATGAGCAATGCCTTCGCCAGGAATCGAACCACGGACTTCTGGAATAAGCTTCCAGCGTCAAGACCATCACACCTCGAAGGCATGCGAAGATGGCGGGATAAATACCTTATATACTCCCCCTTTTAAAGGGCGATTGGTTTTTTTAGGGGACCCAATCGCCAAATCCTGGGTGTGGAGAATCATCATCCACCACCCTTTTAGTTCGGGCGCAGCTGTAGAGACATTAGGTATTTTTGGAAAAAGACAAGTTGAAAAATGAGTAATGCCTTCACCGGGAATCGAACCACGGACCTCTGGAATACGCGCCTAGCGTGTAGATCCCGAAGGCATGCTAGGAAGGCGGGAAAATCGAATGTAACGTATACTCATAACACCATTCGGAACTGAAGGTTAGCTTCATTAAGTTTTATTATCGTTATGAAAAAATAGAATTATGAGAAGTTTGACTCTCGTACGATTAAAATTGACCAGAACATTTAATTTTTAAAATTTGCAATTACTGATGTCATTTTCAAATTGTCTTGATTGATCGGTTATTCAAGTTAGAATAATGCGAGAAAATAAGTTTAAATAATGTAGCAAGAAACGCATATAATTTAATAAGCCGTCCAAGGAAGTCATCTGACACATCAGAATTTTCGATGTCAAGAATCCGCAATGCCCTCCCTAGGATTCGAACTTCGGACCTTCTGAAGATGCGTCAGACGTGCTTCCAGTTACGTCACGAAGGAAGACGGAAAGGAGAAAATGCCTTTAATTAACTCTTTGAAGATCATAACGCCCTCTGGGGCGTTCTGGCCTTTCATTCAAACAACCGAAACCGCCCAAATGGCCGAAATTCCAATGTTGCTTTCTTTTCTCCATTCAGGTGTGCAATAGCAGGTGCAGTTTTCCCAAATGCATTGTTTCAATTTATTGCAGACAGCCTGTCCTAAAAGAATTTAATTTTGGTATCTTAACTTTATTTGCCAAGTAGGTAGAAGGGATGTCATTTGAAATCTTCACTCTTTTTTGTGCGTTAATGAATGGGGAGAAAAGGGAATTGCTGTAATTCTCGAAACCCATTTCGGGCAGTTTTGTATTTGAACATACAGGTTAGCGAAGGATTTTGTTTTCAAAGAGTTAACCGTTCGTTGTAGACTTTTACTTCCAGTTACAAAAATGTTTTACATAAAAGAAATATTTGTATTTTCAGAAATGAAGATATAAATTTTGTAAAAATTGCGGAATCTAACTTTTTATACGGTTCTTTTGTGTCTACATTTAAATTTAATAAACTTTCATATTAATTCTAAAAAATAAAACACAAAAAGTACTACATAACGGGCAAAGAAAATAATTTTAAAGATTGAGGTAACCTTTTTTTTTAATCCAGGGATCGTACTTAAATCGCATTTAAACTGAAGAACGAAATATGGTTCATTAAACGTATCGCTTCGTTAGTATTTGAGGTTGTTCCTGTTTTATCTCTTCCATCGAGAAGGATCAAAATTAAGTGCTTACGAAAGTTTGATATAAAGCTTCTAATGTTCCCTTGATCAGTGCACTGGATAACACTCGGGTTAGAACTATAGAACTCTGGGTTAAAATTTTAATTCTGATCACTCCCCAAGGCAAAAAAGGCACCACCAACGTGTTCACAGGATTTATGACTCACCACTAACTTTCGGTTGACTACGGTTAAAATTATTTTTCCAAGAAAGGATTAGCTGAGCTGGAGAGGTGGAAGTCAATAGAAATTTTATGAAACACGAAAATATTGCTTCATATAAAAACGACTTCATATAACAGGTAGACGGCTTACCCACAGGGAATTCGTCTGCTAGGCCGTCTTCAACATATACCACGTGACTTATGGTCTTGGCGCTCTTGGGGAGTGGTAGCTTAGGCTGTTCATCGCCAGTTTACCGCGCTTTTGATATGGCAGGTAGTGATTTTTATTTCCGTCTGCTGGCATTCGGCAGACAACGACCTCGAATTAGGTTATTCGATTTTTTACAATTATTTTTAGATGTAATTAACTCCTTTTTTCCTGAATATTTTAGCTATATTTTTAATAATCGCTTTAAATTATTTGCGCCGTTGTTTAAGATGTTTAGGTTAAATAATTTTAGGAAGAAAACTAAAATAAATAATAAAAAATTGAAATGGAAACGTTAATTTTGAATAACATTTAAAAATTAATTGCGCTACATTTATAATATTTGATAAGGTAAAAAAAAATCTCCTTTATTTTTAATGCATTGCATCCTAAAGAGAAAAAGAAAATCACATTTTAATATATGTTTTTATGCAATTAATGAAATATATATTTACAGACTGTTGACTTTCAGCTGGAACTATAAACTATTACTGTCCATACTTATAGTATAGTTTATGATACAAAAAGACAAATTATACTGAAATCTTATTACAGAAAAATATTTTACTTTCTTATATTTAAGTAAACATAATTGTACTTAACTTAAAGTCAGAAATAGTTTTTGGAAGAATTTCATTTACCTTTGACCTTTCAGTGTTACCAATAGTACTTGCATTCTGGAAATGTACGATAGTAAAGATTTTTTTTTTATTTTTAAGAAGATCTTTCACTGATTGTAAATGCCCATTTTATTCAGTTACTTGCATATTAAAGTGCTTATAAACTCAGCAATGTCCAGAAAATAATTTCATGCAAAACTTGGAAGCTACTGCCTTAACTGTATGCTGCTATAAATTAAATTTAGTAAGACTTCATATTTTACAAATCAGCTGTAAAATATATATTTCCAAAATAAAATTTTCTTTCCGGATTATAATCTCAAACATGACAATACATATTCTATTTTATTCCTGTATCCCAATTAAATAAGCACATTATGAAAATGTGCATTTAAATATTGTATTTACTGTAAAGTAAGTGGATTTAATTACAAATAAACACTCAAAAATTAAGTAAAACAAAAATATGCTACTTCGTATGAACATCAATCTTTTATAAATGCGAGGAAGACGTACATTTGAACAAAAAGCTTTCGTTCTTCACCAGCTGCAAAGGATCCAACTTGCATCTGATGAAGAAATAAAGCTTTTCTTTTGAAAAGCATGTCCTGTTCATATTTAAAAGTTTGGTGTTCATACAAAGTGGTATATTTTTATTTTAAATGGATTAATGCTTTTTTTTATTTATTTAAATAATTTTTTCTAAAGTATATTAGGAACATACCCCCCCAACAAAAAAAAAAAAAAAAAAAAAAAAAAAAAAAAAAAAAAAAAAAAACCTACTCAAACTGGTAGTCAAGTATATTCCAAATTCCCTATTTTTGATTTGTGAATAAGTAATGAGCTTTTTAAAACAAAAACACACAATTTGGCCGAAATATAGTAACTAGGTATTATTATATAATACATAAATAACTTTATGAAATACAATTCCCTATATATGGCTCTGATATGGGAAATTTGATTTATCAAACATTTTTTTTTTAGAGATGGTATAAGTTTAAAAAAAAATTAGCTTGTAAAACCACGGAAATCTTTATAGATATATAAAGAATGTGATAGTTACTTTTAAAAAATGAATACATAAAACAGTGTAAATAAAATACAAACTACAAATTAAAAATACATGCTTTTATTTTAACAAATACAGGGCTTAAATAAAACCGACTGTTTCACAGAAAAGGCATAAAAAGCTTTTATGAATAGAAAGTGAAAAACTAGTAAAGATATAATGATGAAAGCCTCATTTAAACCTGCAAAAATTCACTCAGTTTTTCATGGGTTTTTTTTGAAAAACTATATATATATATATATATATATATATATATATATATATATATATATATACTGTTGCATGCAACAAAAAGTTAAGGCCTGTTTTCAAAGAGTTCTTTTTAAAATTTAACTCCTACTGAGAATCTTAATACACACTTAATCCTCATTATAAATTAAAGAAAATTCTATAGTTATGATATATTTATGTTGCTAAAAAATTTTAAAGGAAAAGGCTTTTAAAAAATCTTAAAGTAAACAAATATTACTATGAAAGCAAAAACTCTGCAATCAAATATTAAGTTATAAATAGGTGGCACTTTTAAGTATAGGCAATCTGTTGACATTACGAGTTAATACCATTTTATTCCTTAATAATGTTTGGGTAAGTTTGAATTCACTGCCACTTTATTCCTGCTTTACTAGATCATTCTTTATGCATTAGCTTAAATTAAAAAAAAATTAGGATTGATTCATGCATTATTAGCTAAGATACACTAGTATACAAATTTACAGCTCATTTATAGATTTTGAATTAGCTTTTTTTAATAAAGTAAACATATCGCACAATCTTATCTCAATAATTTAATAATAATATCTTTTTTTTTATCGAAGCAGTACTTGATTACGAAACCAAAACGCGTACGACTTGGCGAAAAAAGGTTATCGCCAATTGGCGCAGGTTTCTATTTCAATGTAATACACGGAAAAAGAACATAAAATTCAATTATTTGTGAAAGGTGATTCCAATAAATAGTGTCACAGCATTTAATACATTTTGATGCTATTAATACATGCTGAAAATGTCATATACAGAGTCAATTTTCTTGTACACTATAGCTGAAACTTTCCAACCAATTCAACAGAGGTAGTAAAATGACAAAATATTTCCGGACTTTCGGAATTCGACCAGCAGTCACGTGACACTAATGTTGGAACCGGTTGGAAGTTGCAGATAAGCTCTCTAC